CTTAATTTAAGCATTAGCGAATTTTTCAAATTTTTTAATGACGATTAATGGATAATGTCATATTTGATTAGTCATTAATAGCTATTGGATGGTCATGAGTTCAAATCCCACTATTTAGTAATTTTGATGTTATAAATAAACACTTAAGTTTGTAATAAAAAGAGTAAAAAATAGGATGTTGACCGGGATCGAACCCAGGTTGCCTCTACCAGCCGACCAAAGTAATTTTGTGTTTTTTATGGGTGCACTCTTTATTATATTCTATGTTTCTATTAGTTTCTTGAGATATATATGTATATATACATGATTTTTTTCGAAATTAATGGGTGCACGTGCACCCGCCTATACATGTGGGTCTGCCTCTGTTCGTATGTGCATTTTGTACTTAACTATGATAAAGTCTAATATGTATTTTCACTTTACCTTTTAAATACTAAAATTAATTTTTATTAGTTTAATCACCCATTACGGATTAATATTCAAGCAAACTAACTTGAACGGCGAAACAAAAATAAAACATAGAACAACGTAACTATAATGCCACTATATATTAAAGCTCCATAGTGAAATTGGGTAACACATGTATGATCTAATCGTTAATGAAATGGATAGTTAAAGTGCATAAAAATTAATTCATACATCAACTTTATTATAAAAAATGAAAAGAAATTTCGTACTTAACAAGAAAGCGAAAATAATAAAATACTGTCGTTGAAAACTTGAAATAAATTCAAAATTTTCAATATTATATTGTTTGTCATTTAATTTTCTGCCTAACCCCAACTCAGCAGAAAATAAATGGATTAAATTTGCCGTAACATTTATTAATAAAATACGCGGAGACAAATTGTCGACATTAAAAGAAGCTGCATAAGAATGAGATATAATCTTAAGAATATTTCTTTATCATCAACTCAGCAGTTTTTTTTTTATTTTAAAAAAGAATATTTACTATATATCCATGATAAATTGGTCAATTGAAAAGATTATTAAACGTTTAGTCTCCTTAATTTCAATTTTTTTTTAAAAAGAGATGATCGTGATTAGGGGTGGCAAAATGGGTAAATAATATGGGTATCTGTTCATATTACCCATTTTAAATGGGTTGAATATCCAACTCATTTAAAAATGGGTAAAAAAGGAGTAATACCCATATTACCCATTTAAAAATGGATAGTTAAATGGATAAAGTGGGTAAAAGCAAACAAAGAAAAAAGTGATAAAGGTGAGAAAGTCTTTTTTTTTTTTAAAATGAAACTTTTTTTTACATTTAATTTGGGATAGGGGTGGGGATGGTAGGGGGTGGGG